AGAACCAAGTCAAACTCTTCAATAAATACATGCAGCCTTGAAGCCGAATGATATTTCATTTGTTTTTGTTGATTGAAGTGAAGATTTGGGATATTTCTGCTTTGGAACACGATTCATAAGAAAAATCCTTATTTTGAAACGTTGAAAAACGAAATTTTTGGATGATTCTGCAATAGAACCCCACCCTATAGGAGCGTCGCGTAGTGTAAGTTGACTCTGAAATAAACGCTCATATCTCAGCACCAGTACGTTAGTTTACCGTACGTTGATACCGACAAAAGTCAGGGTCTAGTTAAACCGACGGTCGACGGTTAACGATGGTCAAGGTGCAAATTTTGGTTCGATTCGAGTTTTATTGAATCAAACAAGTGCCCACCACCAGACACCGAGTCATCAGACGAAGCGGAATCTGTATCTGTATGTGTTCAATCACACTGTTGTTTCTGCGCGCTTGGGTATCAAATTAAAGTAGAGAAGATGGGTGATTTTTTGAGATACAACACAGATTTTTAGCATTGACGCTGATCAAAAAAGAGCTTAGAAAGCTGGGAAAAAAGATTGAAAGTGACAAAAAGGAAAAAAAAAAATCCAATTTCTATTGCATTATTTACGGTAGGTAGTCTATAAATTTGGGGGAAATATGGAATTTGAAAGTCCACCTCATCCAGTGCCCCATAGGCGATCTCGGCCGCGTAAAGGTTTTTCTGTTGCGCGGCCGTGCCGGCCAAAACCGCCCACAAGACGTCATCCTGAAAAAAGTCTTTGGATTCGTTTTTTGATAAAAAACGATTACAACATCTTGCAACTTTCGAAAGTATTGGGTTGGGGAGAATGAGTCGGCGCCCAACTTTAAAGGGACTTTTTGCACACATAAAGCCTTCTTTAAACATACGTTTGGTTTGATCAAAAGGATCCACTATTTCTCTACAAAATCACTTTTGAGAGATTCCACAAAGCTTTTCTTTCGTGGAGTTTATGAACTTCCAAACGCAGCTGGTTAAAATGGCAAAGAGTCCGACTCATCATTTGAACAGTTTCTTTCACATAAACCTTCTTTGGTGTTTATATAAAAAAGATAGAGCACATTCAATTACTTAAGTTGCCAAATTTGCAGGAAGATCCCACCAATGGTTTTTTTTTCTAGATCACAGTTTGTAGTTTTTGTGAAAAAATGGATTTTTCTTGAGCGGAGGCGCTGTTTGAATTTTCTTTTAAATGTCATTTTGTAGAGAATTAGTTAACCATTCTACTGATATCAAACGCATATTATTTGACGAAGTCTGCTAGAAGTTTTAGACATTTTTTTGATTTTCGGCGCCGACTCATTCTCCCCAACCCAATAATTGGCGCATTTTCCTTGACGCAATTTTGTACAAACCCTGCTTTCTTGAGTTTTAAGGTGTAACCTTTTTGCGAAATAGTACACCGATACTTTTCACAGGCTGATTGTGAGAAAAAGAACTACAAAGAACTACAAAGAACTACAAAGAACACTACAAAGATTTGGTGTCGGGGTTCGAAGCCGCTTTGCCATTTGTGCTAGATGAAGGACAAATGTGTCGGGGTTCGAACGCGTGAACGCTCTGCCATTTGCGCTACACGGACAGCTCAATGCACTTAATGCTTTACTCCAGTTTTTCTTTAGAAGTCTAAAAATATCTACCTGAATGTGTCGACACAAACGTATCGCTTGATCCCATTTCGATGCGTCAGTGTATGAGAGGAGAGCCGATGGGAAAGGAGAAAGAGCGATCGGGACAAGAGAGCCATCGGAGCGACGAAGGATCACTTGATTGTCCGAGAAGCTGCAATGGGAATACATTGGTAAAATGGTTAAATTGTAAAATAAAGAATAGATAGAACTAGAAATTGCATTGATTTTCTTATGGTAAAACTTTTTGTTGAGTTTTTTTGAGTTTGTTGAGTACATTAAAGCAAGCGAAAACTGTAAGCTTTTCAACTAAACCTTGGCCTAAACTAAACTAAAACTGAGAAGCACATTAAGAACGTTTAAAGCTCAAAACCAATTCTTGTAAAATCACCTACTTGATGAGTTGCGGGAATTTCCCCAGCCCATTCACGGGTTTCTCGATCACCGCTTTTTGAAGGAGTTCTCGATCGACGAAAATGAGTGCTGGCACTGGCCAGACGAGGACCTGCAAAGTAAGAAAGTAAGAAAGCAAAAGTAAGAAATAAAGAAGTGAAGGAATTGGCAAGAAAAAGCAGATTTCCGGAGAGGGGATTGAACCGTCAATCTTTGGCTTTCCGGGCAGACAATTGGTAAGCTCATAAGCCGTGGATGGATAACGTTGAACAAAGTGAAGCAGGAAGAATTCCAAAGTTTCATGGCACAGCAAAACAATGTTTGTCCCTCCCACAGTCGCTGCCGTGCGAAGCGAGATAGCGAACATGGCAACGGATGAGAAAGAAAAAGTTAATGCAGCTTTATTTGTAGTTATTTGTTTTTGTTTAGTTTAAACTCGAGCTTGAATCATTGAATTGGGTGTCTATTGCAATCAATGGATGGTGTGGCCCCAATCAATGGATGGAATGGCCCCAATCAATGGATGAAGTGGCCCCAATCAATGGATGGTGTGCCCCAATCAATGGATGGAGTGTCCCAATCAATGGATGGAGTGGCCCCAATCAATGGATGGTGTGTCCCAATCAATGGATGAAGTGGTCCCAATCAATGTATGGAGTGGTCCCAATCAATGGATGGAGTGGTCCCAATCAATGGATGGTGTGTCCCAATCAATGGATGAAGTGGTCCCAATCAATGGATGGAGTGGCCCCAATCAATGGATGAAGTGGTCCCAATCAATGGATGGAGTGGTCCCAATCAATGGATGGCGGATTTCGCATCAAATTCCTCGGCGCAATTGTTTGCTACATTTACCGGAAAGAAGAAAAACTAGTGCACGAATCAAAGTATCAAAAGTGCTCGCTCTAAATCAAGTAACGGAGATGTAGGCAACTAAAGAATTTACACAATCTTAATCTTAGTGAAACTGGCGACTATGTGGCAAGGTTTGTGAAGGAAACGATCGAAGATGCTGGACAACAAGGACAAGTTGTAGCTGTTGTGAAAGCGGATTTATAAAGGTTCCATGAAAAAACTCATTTACGCAATCTTGTTTTGATCCAACCAAGTCCCCTCACTCAAACAAACGTATCCAACCAAGATCACTGAGCTTTGGCAAATGATCTAACATTTAAATTTCCCTAAATCTCCCCACCTTTCCATCGCCCAATCCAACGAGCATCGGCGAGAGATCATTGAAGCAGAGTTGCTCGATTAGGGCACCTGAAAAGAAAATTTTGAATTTCTTGGTTGTAACCACGGTACTTTTTTGTTATTTAGAGTAAAATAGATGTTTTATGATTACAGAAAATGCGCTTTTTGACATTAGAATTTACATCAGTTCAATAAAGGGCAAAAAATGAAATTCCAAAAGAGCCTGAGATGAAAACAAGCTTTCCCATTTCACTTCAAAAATGAAATTCTTGAAAAGCTTGAAAATCTTTTCTCGGAAAAGAATGCAATCGTCTACTTTGTAAAGAATGGATTGATAAAAGTGTCGAATTGTCGAGAGATGATCGAAGGATCGAATCCAATCTTGAGGATTGGATCAATATCGTTGGAGAGAGCATGTCTACATAAGATTTCCAGACTCCATTCGTGCCATTCAGATGAACAATTGATTTGAACAATTGAACAATTCAAGGCTCAAGTTTTTCTTTTCAATTTAATCATTTTCAATCATTTCATCATCATCATTTTCAAGTTCATTCATCTGTGGACAAACGGAAATTCGACAATCAAATTTGCTGAGGAAGAATTGGAGATGTCGTTACAAACCATCGTGGAGAACTTTCATTTGCGTCAAGTGTGTGCTTAAAGCTCTGTGAACCGAACACAAACTCATGCAATTGGAGGCCCCGGGTGTACTGTTGAGATCGATGAATCACTCCTCGAAATATCATGTTGGGCGAATGGTCTTGAAGTGGTGCTTTAGCGGAGTGTACAGGGGAATCAAATGAAGCTTTGTCTTCCCGACCAATCAGCTGTTACTTTGATTCCAACTATCGAAAAGTACATTGCTCCTGGAATCCGGATCATTTCTGATGGATGATCTTCGTTTCGAAATCTTGCTTCCCAGCCTTGCTTCCTAGCCTTGCTTCCCAGCCTTGCTTCCCAGGCTTGCTTCTCATCAGTTCAATTTGGTCAACCAAACAACAAACATCGTCGATCTCGTCCATTCACAAGATATTGAAAAGATGTGGCACCAATTCAACGGTGCAAACCGTTACATGGAATTCAGCGACAAATGCTTGAGAGCTAAGGGAATCTAGAAGATGAACTGCGCTCTGCTGAAAGCTGAAAGCTGGTTGCTGGATGCTGAAAGCTGGAAGATGATCGTCCAGTTCTCGCCGCCATTCTCGAAGAGATTTCTGGCCCACCAGAACTCCCAAGGATCCCTTCTGATAGATGATCTTCGTATCGAAGTCTTGCTTCCCATCAGTTCAATTTGGTCAACCAAACAACAAACTTCATCGATTCCGTCAATTCACAAGATATCGAGATGATGTGGCGTCAATTCAAGGATGCAACGATGCAACGATGCAAACGAACTCAGCGAGAACTCAGCTTGAGAGCTGTTGGAGAGCTAAGGGAATCTGGACGATGAACTGTGCTCTGCTGAAAGCTGAAAGCTGGTTGCTGGATGCTGAAAGCTGGTTGTTGGATGCTGAAAGCTGGAAGATGATCGTCCAGTTCTCGCCGCCATTCTCGAAGTCATTTCTAGCCTACCAGAACTCTCAAAGAATCCCTTCCATATTTTTAAACCCTTAAATAAACTTGTTAAATCGATTACAATAAACTGAAAGACAGAAAATGTGAATGGAAACTCTATGAAATGAAGTTGGAGTCGAAAATGAAAAAGTGAATGCTCAAAAGTAAAAAACATCAAGTAAAACAAGTAAATCAAGTAAAATCAAGTAGAAAATGAACGAAAAAGATTCCAACCAATTTTCGCAGTCCTTGGCGTTGTTCCAAACGAGTTCACGAGTGAAACATAAACGGAAGTAGATGAATCAGTGAAAGCGATCACTCTTGCGTTGAGCGCACCGCTTTGCGAGACACGAACGCATTCGATATCAGACTGAAAAGTCGACTTTCTACAGTAACCCTATACACTCCTACCCTTCTAAACCATGCCTCTTCCTCTTTTTACCGTAATCTTGTAACGTAATCGTAATCTTTTTTACCGTATTCTTTTCTACGGGCATGGTTTAGCAATAAGGAAGGAAGGAGCGCACCCTTTTCCCGTTTCTCTCACCGTATGCGTGATCATCCCATCACCCTGCACTTTCCCAGTGTTCGGATCGAATAGGTGCACCTTTGTATAATCATTTCGATCTCTCACCACAATCGTATCATTCGATAGAGCTGTGTTCTGAAAAGTTGACCGAAATATTAGGTTGTCCAATAAGTAATGCGTGTTACTTATTTCGAAACTATTGCGAAATCGCTTCGAGCAAATATATGCTCTTTTTAATCATCAGCATCTTTTGTTTATTTTTATATATTATTTTATTCATTTGCCTTTGTTTTATAATAGATATGTTGTTTTGCAGATGAAAGACAAAAAGTTTGTTGTCCGCGCATTAATGCTGTATGATTTCAAACGAGGTAAAACTGCAGCGGATTGCCATCGAACTATCTGTGCCGCATTTGGAGAGGATTCAATTTCAATCAGCCAGTGCCAGCGCTGGTTTAAACGATTTGCGGACGGAAACGAGTCGTTAGAGGACGAGGAACGCGCTGGAAGGCCAGTCGTTGCTGACTTGTACTCTCAACAATTGGAAAGAGTGCAGCAAGCTCTTTGTCGTAAAGGAGAGGACACTTCGATGATTAAACTGCAGTTTGACAATGCTCGTCCTTTCGTTAATTTTGTGATATTTTGAAAATCGTGTCAAAACACGCATTACTTATTGGACAACCTAATAGAAGCCATAGTGTACTTTGTGCTCAAATTTTCAAACACATTCTGCACCAATAGGCGCGTTTACATTGGCGTACTTTAGAGCGTAAACGCGCGCTCTCTGACCCGAAATTTTGGTTCACTTTCCCAATTCTAGTTATGTCTAAACTTTTAAAAGATCAAAGAAAGAACCAAATTTTCAGGAAAAGAGCCGAATTTTCAGGAAAAGACCCAGATTTTCCACTGAATCAATCAAGCTGCTTTTGGTGTCAAAATGTTGAGAAATATTCAGAGATCAATTAACTGAAAAGAGATTGGAAAAATATTACATTTGAGGAAAGTTATAGGCTTTGACGTGGCAATGGTCAACCGGTGGGCCATGTCGTTCCCAGGTTGGGCGCTATAAACTACAACAATGACGAACTATCACACTAAAAACGCTTCTAACTTGCTTCAAATTTGTCTGACTTACATGATTTATAGCTCAAAGAATAGAGAATAAAGGTTTGACAGGTCAAACCAAAGCCAATAGTTTGCTTTAACGTTCGCAAAAAATCCAAATTTCCAAATTTCCAAATTATCCAAATTTATCCAAATCCCAAAGGTACTAAAGACTCAGAAATTGCGCGCAAGACGTGGCAAGGTTTTGCAAGTAAGCAAAGTAGATATATGCAAGAGCATAAAGAAAAAAAGAGATTCACAAAGGGGAAAGGAATCTTCAGAAAAGTGGGAAAGGAATCTTCAGAAAGCGCAACCGATCCTTTTTTCTCTGAAAAACTTAACAAAGGGAGCCCAGACAAAACACAGAAAAAACAAGTGCAAAATAGAATTCACCAACTCACCGATTCGTTGAAACTTCCCCCAGTGCCGGGTACTTTGATCTCACAAATGTATCGTCCCTCGTAGCTGTAAGAGTACAACGAGCCACCGTCGCTCACCACGAATAGTCTGGAAAAGGGAATTTGAACTTTTACTAACAATTAGACTATTACCAGTTCTGATTACTTTAAACCATTACCATTCGAATGAAAACTTTTCACTGTAACTCACTTTTCCGTTTGTATCAACAACGAGACGTTTCCCTCTTTCAAATCGACAATGATCGGTGTGTTCCAGTTCTTCGAGCTGAATGATATTGTAAATGAGTGTAAATGAGTATTGTAACAAGCAATCAGTCAGTTTCAATGAGCGGGTAAAGCTCCCGGTTCAGTACTTTGAACAACGAGACGCTTCCCTCTTTCAAATCGGCGATAATCGTTGTAGCAATTGATGGCAAAATTCAACTTTACGGTCTTATCGAGATTTCCAACGACATCTGCTTCCTATGTTTTTCTCCAGAATGCACAAAAACAAAATTATGAGAGGGAGAATTTCTAGAGAAAGAAAAATGAAAAACAATAACCGCTAGACGCTAGAGAATAGCGCTAGTGCAACCACATTAAGTGCACTTTACAGTCTAGCGTCAAAATTAGCATTTGAAACACAATCTTGCATTTAATTATCCTTTCAAATTTCCACTTTCCCACATTCGATCACCTTTACTTTTATTTTTACATTGTATTGCATTTCTTTTAACTTTTTATGATTTCTTTTCATTTAATAACTTTTTTTTTCTTTGGGAATGCGCGTGGGCAATCTCATTTGTAAGCCCAATTGTGTGGCTAAACGAATGGAGGGCGTTCGGCTTTATTCCTGACGAATTGAAATGTGATCAATGTGATGACATTGATCACATTTGAGCAATTTGGTGGCATTGATCAGGGAGTTCGGCTTTATTCCCGCGGACGATGAATTCAATGTGATCAATGTGGTGGCAATTTCGAATTATTTTCTAACACTTCTGATGGTTACTGATGGAAATGCGGAGGGATATCGACTAGTTCATAAGAAGCGCGCGCGCTGTACCAACACTCAGGCTTTAGTCTGAGTTTATAGTTAAATGTTTATTTTTAGATCACTAAAACTAAAACTTATGTTTTTTTGTGCATTCTGGCATGGGGGAAAACAGAAAAACCAGATTTCGTTGGTTGATTTTGTTTCTCGATCAGGCCGTAAAGTTCAATTTAGCCAAACAGACAGATCCAATTAGTCTAGTCTATACTCGAGCTCGTTTACAGTCAGATCCGGCTTTTCAAATCTATCCGATTGCAATCGTTTCGAATTTTTGTGGACCAGACTTCTTACCCGAGAATTCTGGATCGGTCATTCTTGGCCTCAATGCTCACTACAGAATGTGAGATTGAATCTTTTAAAAGAAGCGATCAAAACTTGAAGATTTAGAGCTGTAATATCTACCTGAAGATGTAGATCTGTTTACTCGTCAACACCACCAAATGATCGTGCGCCACTGAGAATTTCGTGATCCTGCAAAAAGACTTTGAATTCTGAGAATGAGTGTTTCTTGTGCAGTGTGCAGTCGATTTCTATCTCTAGACAAAATCTCCGAGCAATCGGCCAAGAATCGGCGAAGAAAATGAAGGTGGAATTGAGGTTCGGGTTGGAATTTTCCTTTGTCTACTCCTCACCGATCCCTTGTGTCCAGCTTCTCCCTGGCCACCTCACTCGTCATATCCCGCACTTCAATGAGATTCGTTTTCGTTTGCGTGATGTCCAGGTTACGGTAGGAGGTTCGCCTGAAAGTTAACCGATAATTCGCGTTGAATTTGCGATTTATCGATGAATTTGCGGGATTTGTTGGATTTGCGAATTTGAATGAGAATTTGTAAAGCTTGTGAATTTTTGTTTTGAATTTAGTAACTTTAGAACTTTCTTAATGGCGAATCTGAGAGACTTTCTTAATTTCGAATCTGATAGACTCAAGTTTTACGCGAGTTGCGATTCACTCAATTATTTTCGACAATAACAAACTGTTCAATGAGATGTGCATGGACGACATGTCCATGACTTCCCCCGGCCACCAATTGTGTCCCATCGGGACTCCATCCCACCGCCATCACCGATCCACAATCGAGACGCTCAACGCTGTGAGACCACTGAAATCAACAAGTTTTACGATTTATTGCTTACGTACTTATTCACTACACTGCTTGACATAACTTTATGACCAGTTGAGAAAAAACAAAAGAAAGTAAAAACAAGAGAAGTTTTTACTTTCTTTTGTGTTTTTCATTATTTTCTGTACTGTTTTCAAAACAAATTTTTTATTTTAGGGATAGGCAAAAGAAAGCAACTTTCTGATAAAGAAAAGTGGGTGATCGAAGCAATGAATCAAGAAGGGGCCAGCTAAATCGATAAATTGCCAGGAAAGTCGGCCGTTCACACCAATTGATTAGTGCCTATCTTAACGATTCAACCAGTTATAGGAACAGCTATCGATAAATTGCCAGGAAAATCGGCCGTTCACATCATTTGATCAGTATCTATCTTAACGATTCAACTAGTTATAGAAACAGCTATCGATAAATTGCCAGGAAAATCGGCCATTTACACCAATTTACCAGTACCTATCTTAACGATTCAACCGGTTATGGCAGAATGAAACATCCGCAACGAAAGCCGAGCTTACATCAATAATAATACTATTTAAAATATGATCTTCGATGGGATAACATTTTTCTTAAAAAATTGCGGAAAAAAGGTGGTCGTAAAATTATAGCAGTGTATATCTGCACTCACTCCAGCTCGATCACAAAGCCGCAGCAAGTTGAACGATCCAATCACAAAGAGCGATCCATCCGGGGAGAAAGCTAGTGAAGTGATCGGTGTCTCGTGGCTCGCCGACGTGAATAGAACTCGGCCGAATGAATCCCAGACCTAGATTTAGTTGTTTGTCTAAAGATTTTAATTATCACTCTGCAATAAACTAGAGTTTCTGAATTGTTAGCTTTGTCAAGAAATATAACTTGTTATATCTTATTTTATTCAAGCAAAACCTTGAATTTCCCGTCTTCTCCGCCGGTGATGATCAGATCACTCGCTGCACTCCAATCCAAACATGTGATCACACCGTCATGGGCTTTCCATTTGATTGGAGACACCTGGAAAAGTTGGTGGTTCTATTTGTCAGCCTTAGCTGAAGGCGCTAGTACGGTACATACAGTGGCCCACAAAAGTAACGCCCCATTGCCATCCAAAAGTTTCTTTCGTAAGAAAACCTTGCAAAAACGACATTTCAGAATTAGTGTAGGGGCTTTTTGCTTACCCAAAAGATTCTACTTTTCAAGAATAAGATTCATCCGTATCATTGCATAAAAATTAAAGTATAAAACGAAAAAAAATAAGTTACTTAGAGTTCAATAAGAAAAAAAGGTTAATTAGATGTTTATGGGCAGCCCTTCTTGCATATAATCCAGCTTGATCGTTTGATCGTATAATCCATCGTCTGATCGTTTGATACAATCTTGCTAAATTGATCCCTCATCATTTGGTTTTCATCGGTTGATTTTTTGTTCGGATTGTTTTCTACGATTCTGATCACGGCTGGATCTTCTTTTGTAGTTGTGATTGGAGGTCGGCCACTCTTGAGGCCTCGATAAAGGTTTCCGCTGACTTTTGAATGAGAAAGGATGCGGCGCACCGTCCATATCGAACAATTGAAGAGGTTAGCCACATCTATAGCAATTAAAGATGTTAACCTCATCTTTAGCAATTGAAGAGGTTAGCCAAATCCTTAGCAATTGAAGAGGTTAGCCACAACTTCAGCAATTGAAGAGGTTAGCCACATCTATAGCAATTAAAGATGTTAACCTCATCTTTAGCAATTGAAGAGGTTAGCCAAATCCTTAGCAATTGAAGAGGTTAGCCACAACTTCAGCAATTGAAGAGGTTAGCCACAACTTCAGCAATTGAAGAGGTTAGCCACATCCTTTCCCCTCATCCCATTTTCCCGAGCCTTGGCGATTTTGAGCTTCTCCGGAGTATCAATATTCTTCTTGCCAGCCAACTAAATAATAAAATAGAATACACTTAATGTTCATAGAACGCAAAAATAAAGAGAATAATTAAAGAAAACATCAATGGGGCATTACTTTTGTGGAGCTAATTTCAGGGGTAAATGCCCTCTTCCACATCGAACTTTTGATTGGAAAGATTTCAATCAAAAAAAAACTAGATATTCAAAAACTAGAATACTTATAGTATTTTAAAAGGAAAGAAATATATCTTCAAAGATGTTTTGAACAAAATTTCTGCGAAGTGCAACAAAAGTGCGATACTTTTGGATGGCAATGGGGCATTACTTTTGTGGACCACTGTATGATAATGGCCCAGGCCAGAATCCGACCAGAAGCCAGGTCTAGCCTCAAGAGCTCTTTTGAATCAGTTCTTGAACTCTTCCTAAGCCGCAAAGCCAGACCAGGGAAGCCAAACTACCCAGGTATTGTTTTGGGCTCATGTCTGGATCAAGGCTGTTCCGGCTGTTCCCTAGGATCCGTGTCCAGAGCCAGGCACAAGCTCGATTAGTGCAAAAGCCAGAGCCAGACCCAGGACCTGACTTATCCTCGATCTCGCACTTACCTGTGTCTTCAACGCTTTAATATAGCAAGTGTCCTCGGATGCGTACAACACTCTCGACGCACTTCCATCCCAAACAGCCGAATAGATCGGCGAGGCGAACTGCGCGAGAACACTCCGAAGCATCGCCTGCCGTGACCACATCTTTACCGCGCCATCCTCGCCACCTGAAAGCTCACCCTGAATATAGAAATGGGCTCAAATTTTGTGCAAACACATCTCTTCTAGTGCACTAATTTTCATGGTTTTTCTTCCACTACCAAGTCACTTCAGTGCACCAGGAAGCCTGCAGTTTACAGGAGCACAAAGTACAGAGCTCGTTTATTTAGCAAGCAAGCGTTTAGCAAGCTTAGCGTGTGTGTGTGCCAGAAAGAATATGTTTGCACTCGAAAACCAGTTTTGTTCAATTCTCACTTACAAGTGATCAGCCCAGTCCCGTCGTGGCTCCATTTTGCACTCAACGCCGCTCCCCGATGCGCGTCGACGGTTTTCTCGATTTTCCCGTTACGAGTGATCAAGTGCAGTTTTCCTAGATAGATTTGAGTGATTAATTTCACAAAAATCAAGACCAAACCATCCGATGAGGTCAACGCTAAAACATCATTTCCGCCTCTTGTCAACGAACGCGGAAACCAAGACATCGAGGTGGGAAAGGTAGTGCTAAATGTAAAACTTTAGCCACTCTGAAGCCTGCCCTAAAGCTAAAGCCACTCTGAAGCCTGCCCTAAAGCTAAAGCCACTCTGAAGCCTGCCCTAAAGCTAAAGCCACTCTGAAGCCTGCCCTAAAGCTAAAGCCACTCTGAAGCTTGCCCTAAAGCTAAAGCCACTCTGAAGCCTGCCCTAAAGCTAAAGCCACTCTGAAGCCTGCCCTAAAGCTAAAGCCACTCTGAAGCTTGCCCTAAAGCTAAAGCCACTCTGAAGCTTGCCCTAAAGCTAAAGCCACTCTGAAGCTTGCCCTAAAGCTAAAGCCACTCTGAAGCCTGCCCTAAAGCTAAAGCCACTCTAAAGCATGCCCCAGTTACCGTAAACCGTAGACAAAAGTTACAGTAATTCAATCTTTTCAAATCTTTCCAAAACTCACTCAGCCAAATTGGTGACTTTTGTTGCCTCCATTGTGACGAGATTCCATTTGAGAAACGTGTGATCATCCGAACAGGAGACCATTTCATCACTCGATGACCAACTGAAATATAAAAGAACATTGGATTTCACTGGATTTTCTTCAATTTAAAGTCAGTCATCAAATTAAAGTCATTTTTATCCCGGAGTTGATCAAACTAAACTACAGTGCGTTTCACATTGATAAGTTCACTCAAGAAAATCGAAATATCTTAAATCATCAGCATGCTACTGTTCGAAATCTTTTTTATTCAAAAGAGCGCATCGAAAAAATTCTAGAATCAATAAATTGCTTAATAATTTTGCGAATTTAGGTAAAAAAAAACGAATAAAATATCGAAAACGAGCGTTTCACATGTTCACTTTAATTTTTATGAATCTTTTTGCATCTTACTTTTTGTTACCAGAATAATTTTAACACAATTTTATAATCTTTAGAAAATAGCAAGTCGAACCAAGCTTTCTACACTACGAAAAGGGTCAAAACGACAAGCCAAAACGCAAAGCGACACGTCAAGCAGAGTCAAGCGAATCAGAGAACGAATCAGAGCACACTTTCTGTCGTGAACAATTATTTAAAGAAGCCGGATATGACGCTTCTATATCACTTTTTTGAATCAAATTGGTCAATTCAGTTTTTTCAACTCACCCCACAGCACAAACCGCATCTGAGTGCCGGGCCACACTTGATTGCAGAGTTTTTAGGCGCATTTTTAGATTTTCTGAAAAGTAGAGAAGTAAGTAGACAGTAGAAAAGTAAGTAGACATAAAATTTTCGACTTAGAATTAGTGAATAATGGAAAAAGTGTGAAAAGCTCGTTGCAAATCAACTAAAATCGAGATTTTTAAAGTTTAAGCCTAAAGGGAACGGTAGCTGGAACAAGTTGGAACAATTTTGAGCCTAAGCCTGAGCCTTCAGGGCAGGACCAGGCTCCTGTTTCCTGATCTATTGGGTTGGTGAATTGAAAACTGCCGGCTATTGTCATATGTGACAGTTTGAGCACTTTCTTTAAAAGAAACCCATTTTGGTGTCAATGGAAAAGTTGTAGAGAATCGAAAATGAAGCTTATATCCAGATTTTCAGAACGATTCAAAAACTCGTTTTCAAGAAATGCCAAATTTAAGAAAGAGATGCCAAATTTTCACAAAACTTGCATTTTAAGCGAAACTACTAAGTGTATCTTTTTGAAAATTTGGCTATAAGCCTACTTTTTGATTCTCTACAACTTTTCTATTGACACCAAAATGGGTTTCTTTTGAAGAAAGTGCTCAAACTGGGAGTCCTCCATTTTTGAGTCTCACACTTGTCTAACACACAAACCAAAATCCTACTACGAAAGAGGAATCCGCAAATTGCCTTTAAAATGGGCAGAAGTCGTCAATAATAATAAAAAGGTGAATGAATCCCTAAAGAAGAATAGGCCCTCCAAGTCAAAGATCGTTCTCCTCCACGACAACGCGCGTCCTCATGTCGCAAAACTGACTTGCTCTAAAAGAAACAGCCTTGTTTGGGAACTTTTGGCGCATCTCGCATACAGTCCTCGCCCCTTTTGATTACTATTTATTCCGGATCATGAGTAATGAGCTTGCGGGAGAACACTTCGATTCGGAAGAAGCAGTCAAAAATTGGCTTTGAAAGTTTTTCGATTCAAAACCAACATCCTACTACGAAAGAAAAATCCGCAAATTGGCTGTAAAATGGGCAGAAATCGTCAATAATAATGGAAATTATTTGGAATCAATTCATGGTTTTATGTTGAATAAATTTTAGTTCAAAGTCTAGCAGTTTTATAAAACAATAAAACAAGCTCAGGGTCCTCCCTTACACGATGAGCCAACAAAAGCACTTTGATCAAAGCAATAAACAGTATACTAAAACTAAAATCTTGAAGCTTTACAATGTCCTTGATTTCCCTCTGTTTATCCAGGTAACCAAGGTGACCGTCTCCCCGTCGACTCTTGCCTTTCCCTGTCGGCCCTATCCCCCGCTCCTCCCACCGTACCCCTTCTTCTCTATTGATCCCCTTTTCACCTCACATTCCTTCCCTCAACAAAACCACCATTGAACTTATTTTTTTGCCTTTAAATCTTAATCCGTTTGTCTACGATTTCTCAATAATTTCAGTTTCCTTTGTTCACTTTTGCAAATTGCATAAAAAAATTGATCTTTAATGAATAACTTGTTATCAAATTTCTATTTTTGAATTCAATTTTATATTACAAAAGTAGATGATGTCGTAAATGTCATTCCACTTTTCATAGGCTCATTCTTTTGGAGTTCACTACAAGAATTTACAAAACTATAGGTAAACTTAAAGTTCTCTTTCTTTAAAAAAGCGAATTGAAAATCTCTTATGCACTCTTATACAGTTAATCCCTTATATACTCTTATGTTGCGAATCTCTTAAGTACTCTTATAATAGCTATCTTATGATGAATACAGTGTTCCGACTAAAAATCTTAGTTTATTTATGAACTCTAATTTGTTTTCAACTGGGAAAACGAGAAAATATATTAAACTTACTTTCTATCACCCATAAACAATTTGGAGCAGAGCAATTTCAGATATTTCGTCAGTTTTCTTAGGATTCCAGTGGTTACGTCGATGCACACCCAGAAAAAAAAAATCAAAGTTTGCAGGCGGAATTGAACCCGAGGGTAAAAATAGGACCGTTGTTTCAAAGCCTAAGCCTTTATCCGCTAGGCCACAAGCTCATCTCTAGCCGGTAGCAAGAGAAGTCTTTTAAAGGTATCAGTTTTGAATCCCGATTTTGCATTCCAGATTTCTCGCGTTTCCGTGGCTATTAGCGGCTAATTTTTGTCGCTTTTTGTTCGCCATTGCCGTTTCTATGTTATGCACTGGGTTTCCAGTCGATTCCAAACTTCGACCCCACCAGAGTTGTTATTTGTAAAATAACATTATACAAATTTCTAACAATCAAAAAGGATTTTTAACTATTTTTCAAAAAAAGCAAAAAGTTTGCTAATAGTGGATCCGAACCAAGATCAAAGAGTGCAGGCACACTAACCACTAGGCTACGAGCTGACTGTTGGGATGGCGAAGGGAAAGCCTTTCCACAAAATCAGTGTGCCAGAAATTCGAGAAAAGCATTCATTTTTTCGAAATTCAAATGGCTGTAACTTTGTGCGCTTTGCCGATTAGCGGTTTTTGAGAACAGTTTCTGAATGTACACGTTCAGGCCTTTCTTTTTGCACCTACCTCATATTGTAACTCGCGGGTAACTTGGGAAGGTCAGACCATTCCCTGGTCAGACCATTCCCTTGTTAGTCATACTGTTTTTCATCAAAATCCTATCCAGTTCGTCATTTCATATTCTTTTCTTTTCCCACTCAGCAAAAAATGTATGAATTTTTAGGCAAGGGTTTCGAAAAAAAGAGAAAAAGAGCAGAGAAAATCTTAAAAAGGATCTATCAGGGGTTCCCTTTTCTCCAAAATGGGCCTCCGAGCTAAAACAGAGAAAAGAAGAGAGAAAAAAGCAAAAAGGCCGCAATTTTTCCGCACATTTCGGCCTGGGCCTTTTGCTAGGCAAGGCTAAAGCTTTCCCCTTCTTTTTCCTTTTCCTTTCCATTTCCATTTGCTCATTCGATGCCCATTTTAGAGTGGCCCCAGTTATCGACTAAATTTTCCGATTTCCTCTTTTTTGCTGATGTTCATGTGTTTTCTAAAATGTGTTTTTCAAAATTACCGTATTCTGGTGGTAGTCGCAATTTGCTTATCGAAAAATATTCTGCAAATCTCGAAAAATTTGGTCTAAAGTCTAGGTAAAACTGGGAAAATCGGGTTTTTAGATTTTAGATCTCAGCCGTAGACTCGGAAACACTTTTTCTTGCTTTGTAATCCAGGGTTTTTCTGTCATAACCGTTTTTTTGTAATCGGAAAAGTTTCTGGTAGCCGTCAATCTTTTTGCGGGAATAGGTTTCGGGAATTCACTGGAAGCGGAAAATTCAAAAGTTTACGATTCTCGATTCTTAGAATCGTGAATCTTAATGCTTAAACGAGAATCTTAATTCTTAAACGAGAATCTTAATTATAGTAGCAACGATGGCAATTCTAGCACCAATTATAGCAGTAACAAGGCAACAGGCAACAATAGCAACATTTCAAATAGTTTTAGGCCCAGAAAAAAAATTCAGATGTTAAAACATTAAAACGCAAAACAAATTTTTATGAAAAGGAATCGAACTCGAGCCAGAAACCGAAGCGTTCGCTTTGTATCCGAGCGTCTTATCCACTACACCACCAGTTCACGTTCCCGATCAGTGAGAGAACTGTTATAAAGACCTCTATTCGGCTCCAAATCCCGCACTTTCACCTAAAACTTGAAACACGTAAAACTTTATAGATATCGATTTTTTAAAAACGACAAGCAGATTCGGAATCAGCGTGAAATTCTGCGTCTGGCTTATCTAATTTGGTCATATCTTACTGTTGCCTTTCCATTGTAAGCCTATTTCGGGTTTTCGGACGGGTTTCCGGCCGAACACACTTTTCGGACCTTACCCGGGACTATTCCTCAGTTGGAGCTAGGGCAGATCAAAAGCTCGTGCGCCGCCGGGACTCGAACCCGCGATCTTTCGCTTACCTAGCAACTATGTTAACCACAACGCACTGGATCTCCCTTACTCCAGAGGGAATTAACTTCCCTCCTCTCTGGACGAGTTCCACACGTCTCGATTTATAAGCCTGGGATACGCACGAAATTAGGTATGAAAACCTTAACCAGCATTGCAGAGCTCATCCTTCCGTGGCCACCATTTGAAACTAGAGCAAAGTGGTACTAGTCTAGAACTATGCTGGCCAAAGAGTTGAACCTAGAGCAGATCAAAACCTGTGCGCCGCAGGGACTCGAACCCGCGATCTTACGCTTACCGTCTTTACTTCGTCCGCTCGCTTCGTCGCTTACTGAGCTCTGAAGTAAGGGGATAAAGAGCTCTGAAGTAAGGAGATAATAGTTAGCACAGTTGGTCGCGGTTGGTTGGTTAGCGAGGGAAAGGTCGCGGGTTCGAGTCCCGGCGGCGCACAGGTTTTGATCTGCCCTAGGTACAACTCTTTGGCCAGCATAGTTCTCGACTTATACCCCTTTGCAGAACAAAACAATGATCATTTTGCTACAGTATATATTTTGGCGACTGACTTGCCTTTGCCCAGCTCCAGCCCCAGCTTCTTGAGTTCAAATTTCCCTCAAACCTACCTCGAAGAATTCTTTTCTTTTCTTTCATTTCCCCATTTTCCCTTCTTCAACCGGATATCGAATTTTCTCGAAAAAGCGCTCACCATCGGGCACTAATGAATTTTACAACTCTTCCCAAAAAAAAAGTCCAAAATGGAAAAGAAATTTTTTCTTTTTTCCTCAAAATCGCCTTTAATTCTCTGAGTCAAAATGTTTTCAAATTTAAATTTTATTTCAAATTTTCAGATATTCAAGCAACAAATTATTGCCTAATACACTAATTTATTCGTTTTTATTCCACGCAAATCTCAAAAATGGACTTCAACATAAAGAAAATGGCCAGCGATGCGAGCGGTTTTTTCAGCCGCGCGAAACAGGTGGGGAATTTCAAATGGAAGAAGTTTAAGTTAGATAATTGTTGCTAGATAGTCTTAAAATGCTGTAAAGTCCAATATCTGATTTGATTACAGTAATTTTTGCAAAAATTAACATTGACTTTTGTCGGCTGAATACTTTTTCTCTTACTGGATCCTGGTTCGTTTCCACCTCTTTACCATTGGTAATCCAACGTTGAGCTCAAATATCTTGGTGTCAGGCTGTCCAATTTCAATAGTTTTTGTACCAATCGACAGAGAAAGACTTGGCACATCTAATGATACCAAGAACATTTAGATTGGACACCCCAACACCAAGATATTTGAGCTCAAAGTTAGACAATAGCAAAAGGGGGCGAGGCGTGTATCAAATGTCCCACAATCCCAGGTCAGAGAGGAGCAGGCTAGGTTCGAACCTGCCTTGGCTTTAGACAAGTTATGCCTGGCCTAGCCTTAGCCTAGCCTTGTTAGAGATGTTTAAAAACATGCCTGACCTGACTCTGCTATGGTTTAGACTCAAAAAATACCTAAAGCCTGACCTGAACTTTGACTTTGAACTCAAATATCTTGGTGTTGGGCTGTCCCATTTCAATACTCTTGGTATCATTAGATGTGCCAAGTCTTTCTTTGTCGATTGATAGAAAACTATTAAATTTGGACAACCCAACACCAAGATATTTGAGCTCAAAGTTAGATTGCCAAGGACAAAGGTGGCGGGGCGTGTATAAAAGTTCTTTCTGGTCCTCCCCTTTTGCCAATCCAACTTTGGGCTCAAGTATCTTGGTGTTGGGGTGTCCAATTTGAATGATTCTTGTACCAATTGACAGAGAAAGACTTGGCGCATCTAATGATACCAAGAACATTTAAATTGAACAGCCCAAGACCAAGATATTTGAGCTCAAAGTTAGACAATAGCAAAAGGGGGCGAGGCGTGTATCAAACGTCCGATAAACCTAATTTTAGACGATAAGTAACAGACGGTAATTTTCAAGTAAGCCTGCTAGGCTAATGTGCAAAAAGTTTTCGATTTCAGTACACCGAGGAGACTTTTCTGAAAGCCGAGCGCACCGAGTTGGATCCACACTTCGAGGCGCTTCTCTTGAGAGCCGACAAAACCGAGGAGCACACGAGGAAATTGTTGAGTTGTATCGAGAGCTATCTACAACCAAATCCAAGTAAGTTTTCAAAAAAAGTGTTGAACCAGTTTCTGACCTAGCTTGCTGGAGGGTTTGGGTTTGGGTTTGCCAAGTATCAGGCTTAAACCTGGCCTCTAGACTCGGCCCTAGAGTCAGCTGAAGGATCGCTGGCCTGGAGTCAGCTGGAGGACCGCTGGTTTGCTTGTTGAGCTGGATTAGTTTGACAAATTCCTGAGCGTTCATATTGATAGATCTATTTCCCCTGTTACCAGTGTGCTTTCCCCGATAACTTTCTTGTCTTTAAAATGTTCCACATAAGCCTCAGTACTCGCGAAAGCTTTTTACAATTTGAACTATGGATATGCTCAATGCTTTAGCTTTTACAAACCTATTTTAGGGTCATTTATCACTTGCAGCACTTGCAAAAGCTCTAGCATAACCAAAAAAGTAAAAATTCGGCTTTTGGCTTTCTCAGAGCCAATATTTTAGCACTAAACCTATAGTTTTTACTGATTTCAGGGTCGAAGAAAGCTTTAGAGAGTCTAGCAAAAAGGCTCAAAAAGGCCAAAAAGCCCAAAAAGGCCAAAAAGGTCAAAAAAAGAGCTCTATTGATCTTTTCCAGGAGAGAATGTTGGAAAAGAAGAAAAAAAGGGGGTGAAAAATGAGAGACGAGTCCAAATGTGTGCATTTTTTCGCCATGTTTGAGCATCTTTTAGGGGAAATCTCTCCCGGGGGCGTTCTCACTAATGGAAGCCAAAAAAAGGGGAAAAGATGACGAGTGATGGAAAAAGAAAAGTTGCTCTCTTTTTTTTGGATCCACCCTTGAATAGCTTCGAGAAGTGATATTTCCAAGGGGAGAAGGCTCAATTTGCATGTGGAATATCTTGTTGATAAGAGTAATTGAGGCTAAAGGGGTCCGAAATCAATGATGAAAATTTCCAAATTTCAGCCGTTCGTATGGAAGAGGTCTTCTACGAGAAACTCGATCTGAAAAAGGACAATGGACGCATGAATAATCTCGAGCATTTGGCACAAACGATGATTGAGGCGGGGGAAGAATTTGGACCGTCGACACCATACGGTTTGTATGAAGACCGTGTCGCCATTAGCAAAATTCCCAGTCTGATTAAGAAGCCCAAGTCCAGCAATTACAAATGTAACATTTATAACTTCTAACTCTAGGCACCGCGCTGCTAAAAGTTGCACAAACTGAGCAGAAGATCGGCCAAACCGAGAAAGAATTCGTCGCCCAATCCGCCAGCCACACCCTGCTACCAATTCGACGATTTCTCGAAGGAGACATGCGGACGATCCAGGTTTGTGAAAAGCTGGAGCCCAACTAGAGATCCTAGATAACTTTCTTGTGAAAATAGATTTATTAGACCGCAATTGGTCCACGAGTGGACAAAAACACGCAAAATTCCGAGTGCTTCAAGAAATAACAATAAATTGATGAAAGCCATGGTAGAAATCTGAAAACAACAGGCAAACCGCCGAAGCAATTCCACCAATTATTAAAGAAATCTCGACGAAGTGAAGGAAATGAAAGAAAAACAACGAACGACATTATTAGTGATAACAAACTAGGAATTTGTCAAGACTAGCCAATTAGAAAAGAAAAGCGATGAGGGATTGATGAAGAGAATAATGTATAGACCAAGATACGAAGCAAACGACAATGGTGAGAAATGACATCTAAAAACATTATCAGAAATAGCCTAGAGTAACGATTTTACGAAAGAAAGTTGACAATAGAATAAATGGGGGTGATATCTAACTTATTCCTCGTTGCTTTTTGCCGCTGGAGTGGCTGGCGGGGTCATCATTTTCTCCTCTCTGCGCTCTTGTTGTCGATGATGTTGCTGACGTTGTGGACGACTTTCATTGCTGTTGCGACCACCGTGACGAGGAGCAGAGTCACCGGCACCAATCTAAACAAAAGTGATTACAGAGTAATGAAACAGGATTTACTTGATAAATTTCTCTAAAAATCAGCTCTTACCTCAGTTCCATGCTTCGCTGAGTGTGCATAATCTCCATCAGCTGGACTTTTGTGACGCTCATTGCGATGCGTACCAAAGCCGCTCACCTAATCAAGAAACATGATGATACCTGAGCAAAGAACATACCTTGGCCGAATAGGAGATTCTAGTGTTTGAGGAGTTGCTCAATCCCATGCGCGCGTACTTGTCGGTGAGCCGTCCCATAGACGAGTTGTTGTTGGCTGGGTAGTCGTAGTTGGGCATGTGCTGATATCCAGCGCGGCGTCGCATCTCTTCTAATTGCGATGATGAGAAGTAGTGAGCAGGGGGATAAAGGCCAGAGTGTTGTGCCGATGTTGCTGCCAAATAATGTTGATAAGCCGCCAACGAAGCATAATCCTAAAAATACAAATTGTCTAGTCAAAACAAATACTTGCGCCACAGTACCCAGATGTTTTATACCCTGATTTAGCTACAACAACATCAAAACTCACATAATTCTTCATAGCCATTGATTGTCCATAATCGAATACACTTGACCCGTTGTTATTCTGAGCTGTGATGGGTGTCGGCGGTTGATGTTGATTGAAATTCTTCGTCGGCAACAATGGGAAAGCATTCGTGAAGTCACTTCTGCCTAAATAACACAATTAGGTACAACAAAATCTTGTCTCACTTCTCCATGCATTCTGCTGTTCTGCTGGTGTCTTCTGGGAGCTCGGGTCGCTAACAACAAATGCGCTTGGTGACGGAAGTCCCATCAGCATGTAGGGGTGTGGAGCCGGAAAGAAGTACTTGTATCCCTCGTTTGACACGATCTTCCCTTTCGTCGCAACTTTGTAATCTAAAAGGAAAAACGGCTACAGAGTGGAGAAACGTTAACGCACCATCAGCTTTCGGATAAGTGTAGACTCGGTGAAACGCGTCTCCAATCTTCACTTGACGTCCTTTGATTTCAGGAATTTGATCTCGAGCCCTCTAAAAATAAAATTATTCTGGTTTAACATCAATAGACTAATCGGTTAAATTGTGAGTGTAAGTCATTTACAAGCCATCCGCCACTTTGGATATTGACACTTTAAAGGGTTTCTATGTGTCAGTCTCTAATAGGGTTGTTTTAAACACGCAGACTTTCTCCATTTAAACTCGATTTTCCTTCAAGAAGTTGCCCTGATGGAGCTTTTGGATCAAATTTCTAACCATAAACTAAAGCTTCACTCCTTCTGTGACAAGCAATAAGATGCTAAAAGATTGTTTTATCAATCAATTGATCAATTACCAACCATCAACGCAAATTTCGCGATACAAGCCTTTTTCAACTTGTTTCACATCGTTAAATCCATCAAAGTGCTCACCAAACTATGGGCGGCCTCCGTGCTTGTCATTAGCAAAAACTCGACGAATCCAAAACCCTTGGATGTTCCGTCTTGCTCACGAATGATCTTTACTTTCCTGATTTCTCCACAATCGAGGAAGGCTTTGTGAAGATCCTCCTCGCTAGTCTAAATTTAAAACATTAATGCCATGATTGGAAGCAAATTTACAGATCTTGTGGTATATTAAGCAGGTTCTAAACGTGACCAAATCTAATTGTGTTACCGATAGAAAATTTGTAATCGTTAGCCCCTCTGAACATTCTACAAACAATTTGGTGCTAGGGCGGTTGGGGCACTCTAAATTTTCCCAAATGTAGTTTTTGTAGGGTAATTGATGACACTGATCACGAAAACAAACATTTTTAAGTTATGTTTTCAATTAAAAAACATGCATTGCCGTTATATTGGGTAGTTTGTGGCCCTTAAGAGGGTCGTTGGGTTGGGTATTAGTCAGGCACCTACATTTTTCTAGGCTTTGGCTCCGCGACCGCACTACCCAGGCTAGCCTGTTTCTCCTAGGGCTGATGTGAGTTTCGTCCCGGAAGCACGTGGCTCCTAGGCTATCGCCTAATTCTCATACGGCCGAGGTGTTACTCCAATATATGTTTTTTAATTGAAAACATCTTAAACATGTTTTTTCGTGATCAGCTCCACCAGTTACCCTAGAAAAACTACATTTTGGAAAAAACTGCCTCAGTGCTAACAATTTTCCTTTCCCAAACTTTTCTTCAACGGTCAATTAAGCACCATCTTTGAGTGCAAAATCTTTCAAAAGTTGATCCGTTCAAATCTTTATGGCTGCAAAATATTGTCGTCACCACACGACAGACTTTAGTAGCACTGAACTTTATAGCAAACACCACCTCAGGCGAAAGTCCACCGACGAAGATACTTTTCGGCACATGCTCGTAGGCGGGCGGAGCGACAAAAATTGGCGATCCAGGCATGTACTCGTCCAATTTTTCCTGTAGATACGTGCAGTCACTCGGACTTGACGACATCTCCTGAAAAAAAAAAAATTAGATCTAATTGCAATAAAAACAAAGAAAGAGAAAGCAAAACTCGACAACATTTCGCACAAAAAGTTCAAAGTTTTACTAATTTTGTGATGGTTTCGCAAAGTTTCGAACAAAAAGGGAGATTCGCTCGGTTTTAAAAGCTATCCATCAAAGGAAATTTGAAATTAGCCGTTCACGCAGCAAAAGTTTTCAACAAAACGCAGTTTCAAAGGATTTTGATGTGTATTACTCAGCATTCTACACGAAAACCTCGATTTGGGAGCTGTTTCGTTTTTGATTTGAAATGAAACTAATCAAAATATGATTTTGGAACAAACTAACAACTCTAATATCAATAAAACTGAAAATCGGCTAAAAAATGAAAGTTTTGAAGAATAAGGAAGAATATCTAATCCGGGACTTTATAGTAAAAAAAAAATTTTCCTTAAAAAGAATATTCAGCTGATTAGCTGAATACTCGTTGCTTGGTAATAAATTTGAAATAAGGCCAACTTGTTGCAAAATCGGAAGCATTGATTTTTTCTAAAGTTGTTTTTGCTTAGAAATTTCAAAAGTTGGTCAATTTTCTTCAATTAAAATGCGAAATATTTTCAGAAAGAGCGAAAAGTGCTGCAGAGCAAGCGTTTGGACCTGGACGCGTGCAAGAGTCGGCTGAAAAAGGCGAAAACAATGGAAACACAGACAGCGGTCAGTCGCTTTCTAAAAGGCATTAAGCTAAAAAAAGCTAAAATTCTGGGAGTGGGATAAATGCGACCTTTTTTTTGCGCACCCGGACATTTTCGCACCTTTTTTTCCGCACTTAGCCCATTAGCGCACCTTTTTTCGCGTTTTAAAGAAGCTCTAAAAAGTAATATTAACCAATTTCTATTCCAAAAGTTGTTTTTCTAGGTGATTTTAGGGCGTAGAATCGAAATTTTGACATATCAGAGCTTGTGGAAACAAACGGACGGAGTTATACAAAGAGAAAAATCGACAATTTTCTGTAATTTGACCCAGCCGTTTTGTCTTTCAAATTGGTTCCACACGCTCTGATATTAGCTTTTTAGAGCTTTTTTAAAACGCGAAAAAAGGTGCGCTAGTGGGCAAGGTGCGGAAAAAAAAGGTCGCATTTGTCCCACTCCCAAAATTCTCTAAAAATTTCATGAGCATTAAAATATTTAGGGAAACAGCCGCACCACTGGCGGTTTTACGGTGGAACAGGTAAAAAAAATTGTGTAGTGGTGTAAAATCGTGCATAGAATGGTTTCCGTTTTCTTAAAAGTGCTCCATACAAATGAAGTGGCCAATTTGTACTACCATAATCAAGTTTACTGTAATATGGGTGTCTTTTAGGCGGAAGCCGATTTGCGAGTGGCACAAGCCGAATTCGATAAACAGGCCGAGATCACAAAGCTTTTGCTTGAGGGAATACAAACGGCACATGTAAGTTGGAGGGGAAAAGGTTAAAGAAGTCATAAAAGTAATGAATAATCAAATAATCAAATGCTTTTGATGTAACAATTACATTAATTGTCGGGGAAACTTCGTAGCAAGTTAGAATTTGATATTTTCGTATCCTTGTAAATTTACCGCCTGATAATTGATCCCCCTTTGTAGCTCTTTACAATTAGTCAAGATATTCAATTATCTAAGGTACCAGCTAAAGTCAAGAATACGAAAATATCAAATTCTAACTTGCTACGAAGCTAGGAAAGCTATTTTGGCCTGCGACCAGACCTCAAATGTTGTCATGAAAAGTTCTATCAAATTATAAAATTTTATATCTGAGTAAAAGATATGAAAGATAGAAGATAAATAGGAAACTTCATAAAACATCGTAAAAGCCTTTTAAGAGGGGACAGAACTTTTCACGTACCCTGTAAATTAGCCTTGGTTAGAAGTCGACTTAACTTTGACCATTCACCTGGCTCTGGACCTAAAGATGGTCAGAATTCTAGTCACAAGCCCTAATTCTAGGGCTTGTGAGCCAAGTCCAAGTCACGCTTTAGCTATTTTTTAAGACTAAACCATAGCAAAGCCAGGCCAGGTCTGTTTTTGAACATCTCTAACAAGGCTAGGCTACAGCCATAACTTTTCTAAAGCTAAGCCAGGTTCCAACCTAGCCTGTTCCTAGGATTGTGGGACATTTGATACACGCCCCGCCCCTTTTGCCATTGGCAATCTGACTTTGAACTCAAATGTCTTGGGCTGTTCAATTTAAATGTTCTTGGTATCATTAGATGCGTCAAGTCTTTTTCTATCGATTGGTAAGAAAACCATTTAAATTGAACAGCCCAAGACCAAGACATTTGAGCTTAAAGTTCGATTGCCGATGGCAAAGGGGGCGGGGCGTGTATAAAAGGTCTTTCTGGTCCCGCCCCTTTTGCCAATCTAATTTTGAGCTCAAATTTCTTGGTGTTGGGCTGTTCAATTGAAATAGTTTTTGTACCAATCGACAGAGAAGGACTTGGCGCATCTAATGACACCAAGAATATCGAAATTGAACACACCAACACCAAGATACTTGAGCTCAAAGTTGGATTGCTAAGGACAAAGGGGGCGGGGCGTGTATCAAATGTCTGATAACCCTGCCCTAGAGTCATTCTGGAGCCATCTGGCCTTAATACCTTTGCATATCCAATCTCTAACTTGCAGAACGGTCAACTCAAATGTTTACGTGACTTTGTCGAAGCTCAGATGTCCTTCTTCGCCCAAGCACATCAACACATGGCCGATTTGCAGCGAGAACTTTCGGGGTGAGTGCAGAACAACGGTAGAGATTGACGCAATCCAATTTTCTCAGTTGGCCTTTAAAACTCTCGTAGTCTTGTCTCGTGATAGCCAGAGTTTCGATTGTGCTCGATACCGTTGCCTGTATTTTCAGCTCCCTCTCCGCCGACTCTGGCATCTCGCTGTACTCGGGCCACGACGATTCAGCCTTCAACTCTCCGCGACAATGATTCCCAATTACTCACCAAACTGTGCTGTGCTCTCCAGATTTTCATTTAGTGCTAACGATTTTGATTTGAAGTTGATTTTCGGTTTCTAAAGTTGTGCAACAGTTTGCAACAGCAAGTGATTCTTAAATTCCGAAATCTTTTCCCAAACCTGGCTCAAAATTTTTAATGACATCCAGAATTTACTTTTTGTTCAATGCGTTTTCGATTTAACTCAATTTTGTCTACTTTTTAAAGAGCTACAGTAATCTCTTGATTCTAGATTGCAATTCTTGCCTGAATATCTTTTCAAATCGTGATGTGCGTGCCAGAATTGCAAATGGCATTGTTAATTTATCGATATGTTTTAAAAATCCACGATTTCTCAAGTCAAACTCAACTTACCGTAACCCGCGTGCAATTCGGTCAATGTGGTGCTTCTGTGTAGTTCAAAATTGTGCGCTGCGGTCCAGCTTTGCAATTTTTTCGGTTTCTCGAGTGTTTTTGCATTGAAAAATCGTCGTATTTTGATTTGTATTATGATTTGGCTACCAAAAGTTCACCAAATAGAGTTTCCCCAATATCTTCATCGGGTTTACTGTATTTTAAAGTGAAATTAACTATGTAATTTGAAATTTTTCCTCATTCAAACACAAAAATCTGGTCTTGCCTGAGAGAAAATAAATAAATCGAGCTTAAAAAAAAATAAAAATGCAACTCGAAAAGCTAAAAAAACTGACAAAATGTCAAATCTTTAGCACTACCACAGTTGGAAGCCACTTTTTCTCTTTAAACCCACTTTTTCTAACGTAATTTTATGCGTAGATTCCGAAAAACACAACCAGAAGTTGCGAAAATGCGTTTGAAGCGGAGTTTTAGGGCTCCAAAGTGCGTGCTCAGTGTGATGGGTACACATAGGAAAGAGGTCTAAACACGGACTCTCAAAATATCTTTTAAACTCAAAAACACTTCTTCTGGCATAATTTCAACTACTGATTACATTTCTGAATAAATAAAAATGTAAATAATAAAAAAAAAATAAGAATAATAGCAGAAAAATAAAAAATTTTCATGTGGTCCCCCACATGATTCAAAATCTCAAAAAATATTTTTTCAATTTCTTTTGTTTCTACGAGTTAATTTATGTTAGAAAATGAATCTTTAGTGACTGAAAAGGGTTTTGGCTCTAGTTTTGAGCTTGAAAAGTGCCCTAATAGGCGATAACTTGGACTATAGAAGGTGAAGTACAAAACAGAAGCCCCGAAGCGCCGAAACTCGGCTTAAAACGCCTTTTCCTAAGTTCTCGTTTCGTTTTTCAAAATCTACGCATAAAAATACCCCAGAAAAAGTGGCTCAAACTGTCGTGGTGCCAAATTTTCTGTAAAAATTTTATTTTCAACTTTTCAGAACACTTTCTCTTGGAAACGCGCAAATCCTTGTGACGAATACTTTCGGGAAATCGCTAGGATCGATGCCTGGAGCGGGAAAAGTGAGTATAAAAAGCACTTTTTCTAAGCATTTTTCTTTCTTTGTCCTCTTTCTACCGTAATCTTGTCTTTATTTTTATCAAATCCATTCACTTTTTTGATCTTTCACACATCGTTTATTCAAAGAATTAGACGAAAAAAATGAAAAAGATGAGAAAGACGAGAAATTAAACAAATTAGACGACTCATAGACTCATAAATAACACAATTAAACGAAAAAGTAGACAAATTAAATAGAATATAATAAATTAAAAAAAAAATTATTTTTTTTTTTTTTTTTTTTTTTTTTTTTTTTTTTATTTTTTTTTTATTTAATTTAAACCCTCTTTTTTCTTTTTTTAATTTTTTTTTATTTTTTTTTTTTTTTTTTTTTTTTTTTTTATAAAAATAAATTTTTTTTTTTTTTTTATTTTTTTTTTTTTTTTTAATATAATTTTTTTTAAAAAAAAAATAAAAAAAAAATTTTTTTTTTTTTTTAAAATTTAATTATATTTTTTTTTTTTTTTTTTATTTTTTTTTTAATTTTTTTTATAAAATAATTATTTATTTTAAATTTTAAAAATAAAATTTTTTTTTTTTTTTTTTTTTTTTTTTTTTTTTTTTTTTTTTTTAAATTTTTATCTATTTTTCTTTTTTTTTTCCCCCCCCCCTCTTTTTTTTTTTTTTTTTTTTTATATTTATTTTTTTTTTTAATTTTTTTTTATTTTAAATTTTTTTTTTTTAAACCCCCTTTTTTTTTAAAATTTTTTATAAAATAAATTTTTTTAAAAAAATTTTTTTTTTTTTATTTTTTAAGCACTTGGCCTGGACTGTAGGTATAAGTCGTCTTATCGACCAAATCGTTATATCGAGAATTGTTTATCGAGAGTCGTTATATCGAGAGTCAACTGTATAAACTACAATGGTTTATAACCAGTTCTGTTTCAAGCTAGGCTCACATAAAGTAGCCAGATGCTCTATCATTTTCAGTCAATGGACCCGGATGATTTGTCCACGAAACAAGCTCGCGTTTTGATGGATTACGATGCGGTGTTGCCGAGTGAGATCACTGTTAAAGGAGAATGATGTGAGTTCTTTAGCTTATCAATCAGTTACTGTACTGGAACGTGCTTTAAGACCAAGATCACTATTTATTCGTCAAATTGCAGATCTTGATCGTCTACCGTCTCCCCGGGATGGATCCCGAATTCGTGATGGCCGAAAAGGGTGGAAGTCGGGGGAAAGTGCCGATCTCATACTTGGAGATTCTTTGAAAAAAACTCGGTTTTCTAAAAACTGCCCCAAGCTACTGTAAATTATTGATTGTCCTAGAGATTGTCCACAGATTGTCGTACAGATTTTCTTACAGTTTGTCCTACAGATTGTCTTCCAGTTTGTCCTCCAGATTGTCCTAGAGATTGTCCTACAGATTGTCCTACAGTTTGTCCTGCAGATTGTCTTCCAGATTGTCCTAGAGATTGTCTTACAGATTGTCGTACAGATTGTCCTACAGATTATTGTACAAATTGTCGCACAGTTTGTTCTACAGTTTGTCCCACAGATTGTCCTCTAGATTGTCCTCACAGTTTGTCTTACAGGTTGTCCTCCAGTTTGTCCTCCAGTTTGTCCCACAGATTGTACAGATTCCCAAGTTTTCATCAAAAAATGAAAAAGTTCTATACAATTTTCAAAAATTTCTATCTTTGCCCCGATCTCACTTATTTTTGCGCCAATTTTTAGCGTGGCTTCCAAAATGTTCAATGTTTTTGCGATTTCCCCAGTTTTCCCTAATTCATTGCGAAAAAACTGATGACAAATGTGAAAATTTATTCTGGAGCAAATATAAAAACGATAAAAACATAGAAAATACGTTATTTTGTGTAATAAACATTTAGAAAACATTAGAAAAGCCCATAAAGATACAGTAAAAGAGCAAAAAGATAGAGCCAAAATTGTAAAAATTGTCTTATCACAGAAATTTACAATAGAATCATCGTGGAGATCAATAAATTTGCATTCAAGTTCAACAAATTTGCATTTATGCATTTCGCATTTAGCTTTAGATCTAAATTACATTTTGATCACATTTCGATTACATTTCGATTTACTTTTAAAAAGCTACAATAACCCAGGGAAATAGTGAAAGCTTAGAGCTTAGAGTAAAAATAAAATACAGTACTGGACAATGAAATATCATATTTGAAAAACGATCGTCACTTTTGCGCGTCTGTAACTCCCTTGTCTTTGAGTTTAAACTATTAGTGTTATACATTTTTTGAAAGCTCTTTTCAAGGGCTACACAATGGTAATATTAATATTTAGAAATATGTTAAAGACAATGGAGTTACAGACGCGCGAAAGTGACGATCTTTTTTCAGATATGATATTTCATTGTCCAGTAGTGTAGATTAGTCTGGTCATCAATGGCTGTAGATCCAAAGCAACAAGCTAGATGCTGTAGGCAATAAGCTAGATGCTGTGCACATAGAGAACACTTAGACCATTAAAAGCTAACCAAGTAACCAAAAATTTCAGTTAATTTCAGTTAATTATCCAGCGCTAGTTCATTAGAAGGTTTAGAGATCCATTTTGATTAAAAAGTAGCCAAATTTAGAGCAAAATTCTCATTTTTACCAAAATTTTGTTATATTTTCAAAAATTTAAACAAATTTAAACAATTTAACAAATAAAACTCAAATTTGAACACTTTAGGCAAATTTTTCAAGAAATTTAGCTGAAAAACTCGAAATTCTTAAATTTCCAGGGCTTCAAATGGCTTCAAATGGCTCTCGTTTACGCAAAAAAGCTCACCAGGGCGGCTCAAACAGCGCTCAAACAAGGCAAAACGAAGATCGTAATGGAAAAAGCAAAAAACATGAGAGACATGAAACCATAAAGGATTAAACCTTTGGAGATTTTTCCTGAAATGAGTCGATGAGTCGACGCGCACGCGGACAAAAATCTTTCGAATAGGAGATGAATGGGAGGTGATTGTTGAAGACGAGCGAGCCTTTCAGATGCTTCTCTCGACGCATCGGATAGGCACTGAAATAGGGGAAAAGTAATCGAGTAAAACATTTATTACAAGTACAACACCAGTTTAGTACAACACAACACAGATATTTATTCATTATTGTACTAACTTTGCTGTTACATAGTCTATCCGATCTTTTTTTCAATTGTAACCGGGAAAAGTTGCGATACTGTGATTAGACAGAGACGCTTTTTGCCCACAAGTAGCTGATTCGTTCAAATTAAGTTGGCAAGAAAGTCAGTAGACTTACTTTTGTCTCTGATTTCTTTAACTCTTTGAGCATGAGAGACAATCGCTAAAAAAGGGATTGTTAACTTCAATTCTCTCCTATTGATCTTGATCTCCTATTGATCTTGATCTTCTATTGACTTTGATCTCTTATTGATCTTGATCTCCTATTGATCTTGATCTTCTATTGACTTTGATCTCTTATTGATCTTGATCTTCTATTGATCTTGATCTTCTATTGATCTTGATCTCTATTGACTTTGATCTCCTATTGATCTTGTCTTCTTGACTTTGATCCTTGTTGATCTTGATCTCTTGATCTTGTCTCCTTTGATCTTGATCTTCTTTGACTTTGATCTCTTATTGATCTTGATCTTCTATTGATCTTGATCTCCTATTGATCTTGATCTTCTATTGACTTTGATCTCTTATTGATCTTGATCTTCTATTGATCTTGATCTCCTATTGATCTTGATCTTCTATTGATCTTGATCTCCTATTGATCTTGATCTTCTATTGATCTTGATCTCCTATTGATCTTGATCTTCTATTGACTTTGATCTCTTATTGATCTTGATCTTCTATTGACTTTGATCTCTTATTGATCTTGATCTTCTATTGATCGCTTAAAATATTGAAAAGCTCCTATATTGAACAATTTAAATGAAATTCGTTTACTTTCTAGCTTTATTTTTATTTCTTTAGAGACTCCTCAAAAGTTGCTCAATGTCTTCGACATCTCATTCTACATCTGAGGTCGAAAGCTTGGATATCTGAGCTCGAAAACTGGCTTCGCGCTTTGCCCAATAAATAACAGAGTGTGATGCTTAAAAATGGCGATTACCTTGAATAAATAAATGTTTTAGCTTTTCGGAAATCACCGTGCAAACATTTTTTACAAACTTTCTTGCCAACCCAATATAATACTTAGCAAAATTAGTCTTTCACTTCAGGTTTTCTAGTCCAATAAAACTGAAAAGGTAAAGGATGTAAGGATCAAGTAATGCTGTACGAATTGACTATCTTCTCTTAGCTAAGACACGAAACTAAGACACGAAACTAAGACACGAAACTTTGTAACTATTTATAAAGTTTTAACGATATTTCTCAACTCACCCATTCTTGGCGAATCCGAGAATTGTGCTCTGGAAATAGGGATAATCAGCGATTGTCTTCGAGTCGCCGAAAATGTACTGAAGATCGGAGCAGTGAGATGCGTCTAAATATAAAAAAAATATAACAAATAAGCCAAGGTGTTTAGAAAACGATTTAAGGAAGGAATTTTATTGCATTGAACATTTTTTTAAAACCCACGATATCCTTGATTGAATGAAGGAGCGGTGATATTAAAAGTGTAGAGGTAAATGTTTGGCGGATTAGTGGCTGACATTAGACGGTGGATCTCGTCCAGAATTGGCACGTGAAAGGCCAAATCGGTCATCGACTGAAAGATTAATGAATAATGAGCAGATTGATCTTGTGAACTGTAAACTGTAAAGATGTGTAACTGTAAGCTGTAAAGATAGTCTTGTAAACTGCAAACTCTAAAGATTTTTGCATTCAAAAAACCCACATTGACCACATTTTCGAACCAATAACTTTGAACATCTTCTCCTTTTATTTCTTCTTTCGTATAGAATTCTTTCAATAAATCAATTTCTTCTTTTTTCTCGATTCCCATGTATTTTTGAACGGTTTCCTCGAAGCGTTTAGGCGTGAAATCTTTTCGAGAAAAGCCATAGGCAAATAGGTTCTCTGAAAATGTGATAGGTTAAGGAATGAAAATACTATGAAGAAAATTACAGAAATTATACGGTTAAGGCTGGCTGTAAAGTTACAATGAAGGACTCTTGTTTGGGTTCGGGTCCAGTAACGATTAACAATTAATGAGTAAATTAATGCTATTTTCAGTGTTCTTATGTGTCGCAAGATCTTGCGAAATTTCGTAAGATTTTGTTGGTGAGCCCGACTTGCGAGCTTGCAAGTTATTTTTGCTGAACCCGCCTTGCGAGCTTGCAAGTTGTGTTGGTGAGTCTGACTTGCGCCTAACATCTTGCGACTTGCGAAATTTCGCATGATCTTGCTTATGGTGAAGCCCATGGCTTTCCTAGACAGTGAAATTTCTTTTAAAATCACTCACCAAAGAAAGCCCATTCATCACTCGTCACTCCAATCAAATAGTCGTGTCCTCTCGTCGATCGATTCATCAATCTATAGTGTTCGGGGAAGAAATGCCCATCCGTGAAGAGAACCCAGTTCTTCTCGTGTTTTTCAAACTGAATTGAAATTGAAAATTGAAAAATGAAATTGAATTGAAAAAAGCAGTTAAATTAACAGAACTTTGCTGAGTCATAGAATGGCAAAAGTTTCTCAAAGTCATAGAACTTTGTTGATACAGGATGGGCCAAAATTAGGGGCCAGGCGAGAAACCCGAAAGTGATCCTAAGCCTGGTTTGCACCAGGAGAAGTTTATGCTCTGCGTTTTCTGGGATATGGAGAGAGTGGTGTACTGGGAGTTGCTGGATAGCAAGAGACCGTTAATGCAATCAAATACAGTGGACAGTTGGGAAAGGTGAATGAGTCCCTGAAGAAGAATAGGCCCTCCAAGTCAAAGATCCTTCTCCTCCACGACAACGCGCGCCCTCATGTTGCAAAACTGACTATTTCTAAAATAAATAGCCTTGTTTGGGAACTTTTGTCGCATCCCCATACAGACCTCGCCCCTTTTGATTACTATTTATTCCGGATCATGAGTAATGAGCTTGCCGGAGAACACTTCGATTCGAAAGAAGCAGTCAAAAATTGGCTTTGAAAGTTTTTCGATTCAAAACCAAAATCCTACCACGAAAGAGGAATCCGCAAATTGCCTGTAAAATGGGCAGAAGTCGTAATGGAAATTATTTGGAATGAATTGATGGTTTTATGTTGAATAAATTTTCGTTCAAAGTTCTGCAGTTTTTTGAATTCACCAACCCAATATTAGTCAACAAAGTTCAAGCTTTTCTTGTAGCTGATTGGTTGTAATGTACAGTTATATAAGTTCTATCTATTCACCTGATCAACATTTTCCACTTTAGCTAATGGGGCTTCGTTGAGGCACTTGAAAAGCACTTCGTCATCGAAATCCTCATTGAGATCGATATTGCAAAGCTGAAATTGCAAAGCAAATTGAATTTCCGATCTTACTGTGCTTTTCAAAAGCAAATTCGATGCACCGCACAATGTGGTAATCGTAGATTAAATGCTAATTCGAGTAATTGTCAATCGTCAATCGAATGTCAATGTCAATCATCAATCGATTACTGACCTCTTTAGCAGCGACAGCGCTCGGCGACACACCACTGCCCGTTCCATTGTAGCAGACTTCAACAACAGCCGACATCAGAATGACTCGATGGAAAAGTTCTGGAATATGTGGAAAATAACAAGTTGCTCCTTAAAAATATAAGATTTTCATATAAGCTTTAAAGATCGCTCACCTTTGTTGACATTCGGTGAAATGGAGAGCGCGTGCGCTGAGCAAGCTCCAGCTGACTGGCCGATGAGTGTGATGCGCTTCGGATCACCGCCAAATCTAGAATTTCTCAGCTATCAGCTATTAAATATCAAATAGCTATCTAGATATCAAAAATCGATAGTTTTTATATTTAAAAACAAACTCCTTGATATGTTTTGAGATGAACTGAAGTGCTAAATGAGTATCGTGAAGACCGAGATTCGCCGGGAAAAGTTTAGAACCGTCGACATGGAAAAACCCTGGAAACTTGAGAGGTTGAATATCTTGAAAACCAGTTGAAAAAATAAAAAAAAACGGAGTTAGTTGGATAACCCGGGATTCGAACCCGGACCGTGTGGGGGGTAGACTGGCGCGCTCCCAGCTGCGCCACGGTGACAAAGAAGTTTGACCAAAAAAACCGCCATTAGACTGCACCACAGTGAAAAAGCCATCCCGAAAACTCCACTTTATCTTGTCACCGCAGTCTAAGAGCTGGTTTTTCTGGCCAGAATCTGTCGTCGCCTTGGCGCAGTCGAGAGCGAGTTTTTCTACTGATCATGCGGTCCGGGTTCGACTCCCGGGTCTTTCACCGAACTTCGATTTCTTCACTTTTTCTTTTAAATGACAAAACTACAATATATTCTAAGGTTTTCTAAAGAAGTTGTAGCTTTATTGGTGGTCAAGAAAATCCCCGTACAGACAGACAGACACTGCTCTTTTATATATAGTAAATGTAGCTTAGTTTACAGTAACCCTGTAAACAGTTACAGTAATTCCAAAATCGAGAATCCAAAATTTCAGAGGTACTGTAATTTTAGTCGAACCTAGAGTCAAATTCTTTGTTTCTCTGGGTTACAGTAATCCTAGAGCTTTTGGAATTACAGCAATTTCAAGGTTAAGGCTTCTGATGTTTCAGTAACAGTAACCCTAATGCCTGGAATAGGTCGATAGAGTAACTCTAGGTTACAGCTTAGAGTACTCCAAGTGAAAGAGTGGAAGGCTTGACCAATTCTTTCTTTGCTTTGGTCCATTTACACACCAAGTGTCGACAATCGATATTGCAGTGTAACGACGACAAATCCCTGTTTCGACAAATTCCCCATATTCTCCACTTCGAACTGGTTTCCCGTCCCGAATTTGTACGCTCCACCGTGGATGTAAACGAGAACGGGGAGGAGTTCGTGGGAATACGCTTTCTGAAAAATGATTCATTTAATTGCTTGAGATTGATCTATTGGGTTGGGGAAAATGAGTCGGCGCCAAACTTTAAAGGGACTTTTTGCACACATAAAGCCTTCTTTAAACATACGTTTGGTTTGATCAAAAGGATCCACTATTTCTCTACAAAATGACTTTTGAGAGATTTCACAAAGCTTTTCTTTCGTGGAGTTTATGAACTTCCAAAGCTGGTTAAAATGGCAAAGAGTCCGACTCATCATTTGAACAGTTTCTTTCACATAAACCTTCTTTGGTGTTTATATAAAAAAGATAGAGCACATTCAATTACTTAAGTTGCCAAATTTGCAGGAAGATCCCACCAATGGTTTTTTCTAGATCACAGTTTGTAGTTTTTGTGAAAAAATGGCTTTTTCTTGAGCGGAGGCGCTGTTTGAATTTTCTTTTAAATGTGATTTTGTAGAGAATTAGTTAATCATTCTACTCATATCAAACGCATATTATTTGACGAAGTCGAATTGAAGTTTTAGACATTTTTTTCATTTTCGGCGCCGACTCATTCTCCCCAACCCAATAGTTGAATAAAGAGATCGATTTGCATTTCTTGTATCGGTGAAATTTTATTCTGAGCATTGATTCTTCAGTATTTACGGCGACTTCTTTTTGGTAGATTAACCTTCAAGCGCCAAGTTCAACCTTAATGTGCTCCGTGTTATATAAAATTTTGAAGCCCTCAATCTTGGCTACATTTATCTATTAAAAGAATTGTAGTCGAATGAAGTAAGCTGATTTGTGACTAAACTTTACCACTGTAATCTAGATGTAACTGATGACAGTGGAAGGCTTTTGAACATCGAAACCTTTGAACAATCAATCAAACAATCAAACAAAAAACAACTAACCGTTGGCCCGAAGACATTTAAAAACAAACAATCCTCGCTCGTTTCCTGATTGAGTTTCACTAAAAGTTTGCAAGTTTTTGCCGTAATTTAGTCAAATTTCAAGTCTGTCATAAAATTTCTTCATTCAATTAAGGTAAAGAACGAGAATTCATCGTGTTGTTCGACTTTGTTGTTAGAGCTGTTAGAAAACATTATTAGAAAGCACAAACCTTTCAACTGTGGGCATTCTTTTGGTCGTTCGGTGAACAGGGATTTACGCCAGCTCGATTTCGCCATCGTTGCAAACTAAAATTTGGGGAACTTTACGAAATATGTCCAAGTCAGATCCAAATATTCTCCATATCAATTAGCTAGCTTCAATTGGCACTTCAATAGCCTCAATTGTACACTGATCGAGATCAAGTTCACTCGTTCAACTGATCCCTATGTTCGAAAATGCTCGTTAAACTCGGGCTCATTGCATTTACATTCCCGCTTAAATGTTCAATGAACCCCTCACAATGATCTTTTTCCTATTTCCCCTAGTTTCCCGTCATTCTTTTTTTAGAATTTTCCTCGGAATCCACCCAAAAAGCTCGAAATTGACGGACAAAAAGCTGAGAATTCATGCGTTTTTGCATGAAATTCCCAACAAATTGGATGAAAGGGGTTTTTGAAGAAAAAATAAAGATTTTCGAAGAGCATTTTAAAGTTCAAATGGCTTATCGGCTCTTTTCCGTTGTCCAGGGTTTTTGAAAGAGTTTAAGGCAAAAATTCACCCAAAAATTTGAGCATAGTGACGCTCAGAAAGCTTGTTGGACATTTGAGATGGGTCCCGCCTCTTTGCCATCGACAATTCAACTTTGAGCTCAAATAGCTTGGTGTTGGGCCGTTCAATTGAAATAGTTTTTGTACCAATCGACAGAGAAAGACTTGGCGCATCTAATGATACCAAGAATATCGAAATTGGACACCCCAACACCAAGAAATTTGAGCTCAAAGTTGGATTGGCAAAAGGGGCGGAACCAGAATGACCTTTTATATGCGCCCTGCCTCTTTGCCATTGGCAATTCAACTTTGTGCTCAAATATCTTGGTGTTGGGCTGTTCAATTGAAATAGTTTTTGTACCAATCGACAGAGAAAGTCTTCGCGATTCCAGTGACATTAAGAATATTTAAATTGGTCAACCCAAAGCCAAGATATTTGAGTTCAAAGTTAGTTTGCCAATGGCAAATCGTACAAATTGTAGAAAAAGAAGAAATTCAGTTGTAAATTTGGGTTTTTGGGATCGACCAATCGATTAGAAAAATTCATTTGAATGAATCTACCAAGTGGTCTAGATTTTTGATGAAATTGGAGACTTATCATTACTTAAACAAGCTTTAGAAGAGCTTCACATAGCTCAATAGCTTCACATAGCTCAATAGCTTCACATAGCTCAATAGCTTCACATAGCTCAATAGCTTTACAAACCTGAAATCTCTCTGGCTTCTCTCCATATCGTACTCCCAAACGAGCTGAAATTGATCGTCCAAATGGATCAGTGCCAAGAGGAACACCCGGATGGAGGTGAGAAGTGGCAGAAGAAAGAACTTGGAATATGGAAAAGGTGATGAAGAAGAGAGATGACATCTGAAAAGGAATGATTGAGAAATGGGATACTGTTTCAACAAAGATATTGTGTCAAAGAGAGGCAACACTTGAAGATCTTATCAAATCATTACAATAATCAAGAACAAGGGATGTTTTAGTCAACAAGTTCATCTGATTATGAGTCTTAGAGTAAGTCAAGCTCACACCAGAGTCAGGCCAGAAGCCAGATTCAGCCAACAAGATTGTGCTAGAAGCAATTTTCTGAGCCAAGCCTGGTTCTTTCCTTGTCCAAAATCCCAGGGCCAGAGCCCGGGCCAGAACCAGGGCCAGAACCAGGGCCAGAAGCCCGGGCCAGAACCAGGGCCAGAATCAGGGCCAGAGCCAGGGCCAGAATCGGGGCCAGAGCCAGGGCCAGGGCAAGAAGGCAGATCTAGGCCTGACTTCTAACTGAGCTCTGCTATGACTAGGATCTAGGAACACGTTTTTAACTGTTTTAACTGACTTATGTGCTAAACTAGGTCAAGCCAGGATTTTTTTGGTTTAATTTTGAATGGTTTAGCTTAAGCAAACTTGGCAATCCTCAAGCTGATCAGTTGAATGTTGATCAGTTTTATCGAAATGAACCCTGTGAAACTAGATTTGACCAAGGAAGGATTTGTCCCACTTGGTTTGAAATCATTTATGAAGAAATCAAACAAATTTGTGATCTGTAAACTCAAAATAGACCTGGTCCGCCCAAAATTTCAAACTTTGTGACCCAAAAAAGGTTGATTCTTTTTGGTCTTTCATACAAAAATTACAGTAAACTTTGCAAAAATGAAACTTTGGAAAAATGACAAATTTGCAAGTTTTTCTGGTGCAAATTTATAATTATTTGATCTCCAGAGATTTGTAAGATGTATTTTGTCAAACTTTTTTTAAAAGTTGAGCTTTTTTGCAATTTTTGATAAATCCCCCGGGTTGGGGAAACGTCAAAATTTTGTGATTTTGGGATGAAACTATCGAATTGTCGAGTTTTATAAGTACAAGATTGAGAACTGGAGAATTTGGAGAACGGATTTGGTGAAGGGAAATGATAAATGGTGCTTGAAAGGCTAGATTGCGGTAGATTTTGCGAAGGTTACGATAGATTTCGAAAAGGTTACGGTAGGATTATCCGGTAAGAAAGGTGGTAAAGCTATGGTACGCTTTAGAAAAGGATACAAAACTGTGCTCCGACCGAGCCTTAGCGTCTCTGGAAGCCAGCAAAAGAGCCCTCTCTGATAGGTCCAAGATACAGAACCAACCCGGTCTGATAGGCTCAAGAATTTTTGTGGACCAAGTTTACCCCCTTTGTTCCAAGCAGATCCCTTGGATCTGTACCAGGCTGGGCCAGAATCCAAGCCTGATTATTGCCCTGGTTTTTTTAGCACATTGATGAACCAAATCCCAGAAATTTGCACTACAATCCCAGGACTTAAAAGACTCTAGAATCTGAATTTAAATCTTAAATTTAAGCTAACAAACTCCAGATAGTTTATTTTTACGGTTGCAATTATTTGATTTTAACCGCAAATTTCTAGTAATTCCCTTTACAAAATGCTGTTTTTAGAAACTTTGAAAACTCTCATTTTTTCAAAACTTCTTTGAGTTCTAACACTTGAGATTTGTAAATACTTCATTAAAGTATCCGAAACTATTAGAAAATATTTTTTTCCAAAACGTTCTCGCTCCGGGGGAGTCGAACCAAAAACCCCCTATTGGAACTTCAGATTGACCGCGCGCGCCTTAGACCACTCGGCCATGGAACCTCAGAGGCTCATGTTTACAAGCCACTGTGGAACCCTTATGACGGGGGTGCACATCCGCGCGAAAATGCGATCGCCGTTAAATTTGCTCAAGATAAGTGCTATTCGATTTTTTTTAAATCGAAAAAAATCGAAAAAATCACTATTTTTCTATATAAACGACAAAATTGCCTCTCTTTTACAGGCTGGTTCTCGGCGAAAAGGAAATTTTGGTGAGCGTCATATACCAAACTTTATGCTCAAGGGTCTTGTGCACATTTTGACACCAAAACGAGATCAATTGGGTGAATCTGTGAAAAGTTGATGCCTTTTGAACGCAAAAGTAGCGTTTTTCAACTTTCTGCGCGCCATGCGTGGGTAAACTACCGGAACTATTACAAAAAAAAAAACAAAATTATAAAACAAACAAATGTGTTCTTATGAATTTTTTCAATTCTTTTTGTTTTTCTTCACTTCAATCAAAATTTTGGCTCTTTTTTTATTGTTTACATAATTTTGATTTCAACGAATGATTTGTGTATTACAGGTTACAGGTTTTACAGGGTCATCAGTTGGAAACAAAATTATGTAAACAATTAAAAAGTAGTTTACCCACGCATGGCGCGCAGAAAGTTGAAAAACGCTACTTTTGCGTTCAAAAGGCATCAACTTTTCACAGATTCACCCAATTGATCTCGTTTTGGTGTCAAAATGTGCACAAGACCCTTGAGCATAAAGTTTGGTATATGATGCTCACCAAAATTTCCTTTTCGCCGAGAACCAGCCTGTAAAAGAGAGGCAATTTTGTCGTTTATATAGAAAAATAGTGATTTTTTCGATTTTTTTCGATTTAAAAAAAATCTGTCAGACGGATTCGAAAAATTCTTTCAAATTTGGATTCAGGACATTTTTTCGCATCGAATAGCACTTATCTTGAGCAAATTTAACGGCGATCGCATTTTTCGCCTTATTTCGCGCGGACGTGGGGTGGGACAAAGGTGCACCTTTTTTTTGCGCACCCGACCGCACCTTTTTTTTTGCGCACCCGACCGCACAAAAGCGCACCTTTTTTTTTCGCTGGAAAAGGCCTTAGGAAAGGCCGTAGAGCTTCGAAAATATTTCCATTGAAGGGAATCATATGCGTAGATTCCGAATTTCGACAAATTAGAACTTGCTGACACGTCAAATTTGGGCTAAAAGGCAAAAACTGCGGAAAAGCGTGAAGTTGCGTAGTTTTTGCCTCTTAGCCCAAATTTGACGTGTCAGCGAGTTCTAATTTGTCGAAATTCGGAATCTACGCATATGATTCCCCTATGCGGGAACATTTTTAAAGCTCTACGGCCTTTTCTAAGGCCTTTTCCAGCGAAAAAAAAGATGCGCTTTTGGTCGGGTGCGCAAAAAAAAGGTGCACCTTTGTCCCATCCCCCTTATGACTCGTGGGTGCGCGGTTTCATGGATGCTCGATTTTGAGGTAAACTTTGGAGGTAAATATCTCGAAACTTTAGAATCGTCATCCCCAAACAACATACACCATCGGAAGTAAATCCAAAAGCATCCCTAGTAAGCTTTTCGGTACGATTCGGTTATACATTCTCACCTAAGCCTAAGTCTATCCAGTGCTTTTGAGAAAAAGTGTGCATAGTTTAAGTATAAGCTTTTTTTCGATTATGTTCTCAGAACAATGGTACTTTATAGGTAAACATGCACATAAATTAGATAAAATATTATAGATTTAATCTAGTTATTTGTTAAGATATGGAAATTTCTAGCCGAATAGTAACAGGGTTTTCTAAACTTTTCTTTCTACCCTTCTTTCTACCCTTCTTTCTACCGTAATCTTCTCGATTTTTATCTAATCTATTCACTTTTTTTGGCTAATTTTGTGTGGGTTCAAAATGGATATTAAAGGATAGAAAAAGTGGATAGATTAGATAAAA